GTGGCTGGCACCTTAGCCGGTTGAGCTATAGGCGTCGAGCCGAAAGTTCTATTTCTAATAACCAACCAATGAAAAGGAAAGTCAGGGAGGGCACCTGTGGCTCCGTGGGTAGGGCGCTGGCCCCATATACCGAGGCTGGCAGGTTCGAACCCGGCACTAGCCAAACTGCAACAAAAAATAGCTGGGTGTTATGGCAGGCACCTGTAGTCCCAGCTACTTGGGAGGCTGAGGCAAGAGAATCGCTTGAAGTTGCTATGAGCTGTGATACCATGGCACTCTACCAAGGGGGACATAGTGAGACTCTGTCTCAAAAAACAAAAAAAGGAAAGTCAAGGAGTTAAACCAAACCAAGAGCTAGGCCATGACTAATAGATTTCCATTGCTGGAACCAGCCTTTATGTCTAAATGCTTGAGTACAAAAGCCTCACTACCTGTACATGTTTTAGGAGCCTCAGTTCTGTTGTCACCAAGACAGAATCTTGGAATGCCATAGCAAAGTGCCCCCAGGAAGTGTGGATTGCTCACCACAGCTAGGCCGTGGGGTTGGGGTCTTCCCTCCAAGTCCAATGGCTGTGATCCTGGCCAATGCACGAGGCCCCTCATGGATGCTGAGGCCCTTCTTCCGACAGGGCCTCTGTCTCTGAGGAATGGGGTAGGATTCATCTGAAGAACTTAAATCTTCGTATTTTTCTGCAGGAAAAACACCAAAATTAAGAAAATCTGTTCAGTGAAGGACTAAAGTACTAATCCTTACGGTAAACTGGAAAAAATAATGAGTTTGCCATGATGTCACTGTGAGAAACACCCTAACAGGCCAGTGCACTATTCCAATGGAACACAGTGAACTGCAAAGTGCATTATGGTGGGGAGTTTAATTCTTATTCTTCTCATTGTCTGGATTTCTAAGTTTTTCATGCTAAGCCTATATTGTTTATAAACAGAAATAAAGTTTGTTCTAAGTTGAAGGAATAAAATCCATCTCTTCATAAAAATTTGGTACTATCAGTCACAACTTTTTTTTTTTTTTTTTGAGACAAGGGTCTCAAGCTGTTGCTCTGGTTAGAGTGTCATGGTGTCACAGCTCAACAGCAACCTCAAGTTCTTGGGCTTAAGTGATTCGCTTGCCTCAGCCTCCCAAGTAGCTGGGACTGCAGGCACCCGCCACAACACCCAGCTATTTTTTGGTTATAGTTATCACTGTTGTTTAGCAGGCCCGGGCTGGATTCCAACCTGCCAGTGCTGGTATGTGGATGGCGCCCTAGCCGCTGAGCTACAGGTGCCAAGCCTAGTCACAATTTTTTTTTTTTTTTGGAGTTTTTGGCCAGGGCTGGGTTTGAACCCACTACCTCCGGCATATGGGGCTGGAGCCCATGGAACCCACTACCTCCGGCATATGGGAGCCCTTGGAGCCCTTGGAACCCACTACCTCCGGCATATGGGGCTACTCCTTTGAGCCACAGGCACTGCCCCTCCCAGTCACAACTTTTTAAGCAATTTTATATTTTCCATCTGAACAGCCTCTTCAGAAGCAAATGCTGTATGTTTGCCACAATTTATGAAGTATTTCAAGTCACTATCCATGTGGGCTTTCAGAGCTCAACATGCCCCATTTTATAGCTTTCCTTAGTTTTTCATATTTGACGAGACCTACAAGGCAAAATACAGGGATTTATTTGTAAGAGGCTCCAATCTTATTCAACTATTAAATAAAAAAAAATTTTTTTTTTTGAGACAGAGTCTTAAGCTGTCTTAAGCTGTCGCCCTGGGAAGTGTTCTGTGGCATCACAGCTCAGAGCAACCCGAAACTCTTAGGCTTAAGGAATTCTCTTGCCTTTGCCTTCCAAGTAGCTGGGACTACAGGTGCCCGCCACAATGCCTGGCTATTTTGGTTGCAGTTATCATTGTTGTTTTGCAGGCCCGGTCTGGATTCAAACCTGCCAGCTCTGGTGTATGTGGCTGGTGCCCTAGCTGCTTGAGCAACAGGTGCTGAGCCCTTATTCAACTTTTAAGAAACAGCAGAGGCAAATGCAGAAGGAAGGGCTGAGATGCCAGTATGACGCTGGCAAACTGGATGCAGACATAGGGAGTAGTCCTTAGTCACTACTTCACTCCACATGAGCAGGTACCTCTCTGACGTAACTAACAGCACCACTTAGGGCAGGCCAGCCAGTTACACAGCCAGGTCCTCACCACAGGCCATTCTCTCTTTGCCTCATCAAATACTCCCCTACCAGATTCAAAGATCTGCACCACCGCAGGGAGACTATGGTTCTGTCCAAGCAGAAGATCAAGTTGCAAGAAAATAAAAGTGCAAAGGAGGGAACATAGTAAAGGCAGCTGCATGAACCTGAACATCCCAACACATCCTCAGAATGGTTACAAATAATAGAAAAAGGCAGACTAGGCACATGGAAACAATAAAAAACCAGGTTTGCAATCTAGCTGTCAAAGAATTTAGGCTGAGGGCAGTGCCTGTGGCTCAGTGGGCAGGGTGCCAGCCCCATATATCAAGGGTGGTGGGTTCAAACCCGGCCCCAGCCAAACTGCAACAACAACAACAAAAATAGCTGGGCTTTGTGGCGGGCCCTGCTACTCAGGAGGCCGAGGCAAGAGAATCACCTAAGCCCAGGAGTTGGAGGTTGCTGTGAGCTGTGTGATGCTGCCACGGCACTCTACTGAGGGTGATAAAGTGAGACTCTGTCTCTTAAAAAGAAAAAAAAGAATTTAAGCTGAAAAGCACTCAGTGTGACACAGACGGCACTTACAATACTTGATGCTATAATTCATGAAACTATATATCAGAAATTACAGGAAATCCAAGAAGAGGAGCACACAAACAGGTGATGTTGTATAATAAGATAAAATTTAGATATGTACTAAGTTTTACACCTACACAATAGAGAATATAAATTCTTTTCAAGCACATATGGAACACTTAATATTGATCAATAGGTAGACAACTCATCAGTAAGTAAAAGAATTATTAACACTCTCTGATCACATAAATTATAATTAGGTTGATCAGAATAACATGAGAAATTACTCACAAGACCAAAAAAGTATTTCTACCTAGAAATTAAAAACCAAAAAAAAAATAATTATAAAACTTCTATTAGGGCATCACCTGTGTCTCAGTGGGTAGGGCGCCGGCCCCTCATACTGAGGGTGGTGGGCACCTGTAGTCCCAGCTACTCGGGAGGCTGAGGCAAGAGAATCTCCTAAGACCAAGATATGGAGGTTGCTGTGAGCTGTGACAGCACACAGCTCTCTACTGAGGGCGACAAAGTGAGACTCTGTCTCTCAAAAACAAAAAAATGCTTCTATTAAACAACTATTAAGTGAAGCAGAAGATACAAATCAAAATTATAAAATTTCTGAAAAACAATGGTAATGAGGCACTTACATACCAAAAATTCTGGGCTACATGTAAAGCAATGAATAATAAAAATTCACAGCCTTAAACACTTACGCAACAAAAGGGAAATAATGAAAATGAAAGAATGAGGCTCGGCGCCTGTAGCTAAGTAGCTAGGGCGCCAGTCACATACACCGGAGCTGGCAGGTTCAAATCTAGCCCAGGCCTGCCAAACAACGACAACTACAACCAAAAAATAGCCGGGTGTGGTGGCAGGCGCCTGTAGTCCCAGCTACTGGGAGGCTGAGGCAAGAGAATCGCTTAAAGCCCAAGAACTTGAAGTTGCTGTGAGCTGTGACGCCATGACACTCTACCCAGGGCGACTCTGTCTCAAAGAAAAAAAAAAGAATGAAATCCTTTCTGATTCTAGCAGCTGGGACAGATAAAAGAAAGAATGAAATCCTAACATTATGGCAATGTGGATGAACCCGGAAGACATTATGTTAAGCCAGATGCAGAGAGACAAATAGTGCATGCTCTCACCTGTTTACAGAATTTTAAAAAGCTGATCTCACAGATGTACAGAGTAGAATAGTGGTTAGGTGATTATGACTCTGAGAGGTGGAAGGGAGGAGGATAGGAACAAGTACAAAATTACAGATAGTCTGAAGAATAAGTTCTGGTGTTGCACTGCCTGGTAGGGTGACTATAGTTAAAAATATTGCATTGTAGGCTGGGCATGGTGGCTCACACCTGTAATCTTAGTACTCTGAGAGTCTGAGGCGGGTGGATTACTTAAGGTCAAGAGTTCAAGACCAGCCTGAGGAAGAAAGAGACCTCATCTCTACTAAAAGCAGAGAAAAACTAGCTGGGCATAGTGGCAGGCGGGCCAGTTACTCAGAAGGCTGAGGCAAAAGGATTGCTAAAGGCCAAGAGTTTGAGGTTGCTGTGAGCTATGATGATGCCACAGGACTCTACCCAGGGTGACAGAGTGAGACTGTGCCTCAAAAACAAAAATAAAACTAAACAAAACATTATACTGTATACAGGAGGTTGGTCCCTGGGTTCCTGACCAGATACATTCCTGAGAATGTCTTTAGGTCGGGTTTTTTGGTAAGTTAGTTCCCCGATGAACAGCACATGTATAATAATAATAATAGGCTCGGCACCCATAGCTCAGTGGTTAGGATGCTGGCCACATACACCAGGGCTGGCAGGTTTGAACTAGACCAGGCCTGCTAAACAACGACAACAACAATAATAAAAATTAACTGGGTGTTGTGGCAGGTGCCTGTAGTCCCAGCTACTTGGGAGGCTGAGGCAAGAGAATCGCTTAAGCCCAAGAGTTTGAGGTTGCTGTG